GCTGATTTTTCTGTGAAAGAAGAAGACGTATTAGTTTTAGCCTTGCATTAATAGGAAAGAGTTTTTTTCAGGATGGTAGTTTCCTGCCGATCGTTCTCATACGAAATTGCAAAATCTTCTACCACTTTAACATTTTCTTGTTATTCATGAGTAAAATGAAATAATCAAAGTTACCATGCAGATTGTGAAGCAACGAGCGCTACGCGGTCATCCGTCCCTGAACCTTCTTCCGGAAGCGCAGTCTAGCAGAAATAAGGATCCGAATATGGCGCCACTTGCTTATGCCGAAGATGAGGAACAGGCAGCACTTTGTCTGGAAGAGGACGCGACAGTCCTTTTCGACATCGACGACGTTAGCGAAATGCTCAAGGTGCGTTTCATTCCACTGCGCAATACGTTATTCACTACATGATTTTGAAATATGTCCGAGCACAAATCAACATAATCTGATGCTCGAGGAGCGCGTGCCGTCAAGTGTGAGATCGAAATAACCTGAATTCTGAGAATTAGCCTAATGATTTCCGAAGAGAGGGGCGCATTTTTTATGTTTACTTTAGCCTCTTTCTGCCATCACAAATTCAAATTATTTTCAGACCACTGGTAAAGATGTGAAAAACTTGGCTGTACCATTTGTTTCGAAAGGCGCAGCACTGGCATCGTCAATATCGGGCGACATGCTGCCGGGTGACTGGACGTTCAGAGGACGTGATAAAGGAGATTATACGGATGGGACCGAGACAAGTGGAATAGACGAGAATACAGTCTCGCTGGATATGAGCATCGACTGGAGTCCACCGGAATCCATACAGACTTCCCGAAAGAATACAATATTCCTACCTGCACGTGAAAGTAAGCGGGCCTTGCTCAGAGTATAGTTATATATAACATATATAATTATATATATATAACAGTATATACAATAATTTTGTGTACATGTAACAATGCAGCTCTTGGCCATGGATGCAACTTGCTAGTAATCCCTCCGTAGGTTTCGTAGCTTTTTCGAAGAGAATTTATGAACGACTAAAAAACTGCTGAAATGTTTTTTTATATGTGAACTGAACACTGGTTTGAGCTATGGAATATACTAATCATTTCTTTTTTTTGGGGAAATTTAGGAATTTCTGGAAGCCCGAAGGCTAGAAGAAGAGTGGTCTTCAGATTTCAAAAAGGTTTGGATGCGTGCCGCCATTTGCGCGGAAACGGCGCTATAAGCCAATTACGCGTTTCGCTCTTAATAATTTGCAGCTGAAATCTGTTGCGAAATCATTGGAAAAAATCATGGAAACTGTTATTATCATTACGTCTTTATGTACCACTATAAGTGAATTGTGTAGCATTTGATGTTTTTGAGACATTTAAAAAGATTTATAGAAATCGATTTCCTTCCGGCACCTTCGACCGTTGGCGAATTACGGAAGAATGTGAATACCGCAGTTGATATTAACGAAGAAGAAAAGAGAGAGCAGGTAAATGAGGTTGTTTATCAATTAACAAAGATTTCTAGAGAAGCGATTTTGATCGCGATATTGAGAAGAATTTAGCGGTTTTTGGCGCATTTAGCCCAAATGTTGCCGAGATGTTTTCCAGTTTTGTATCTTAAAGGATACGGATACGCGTACATACCATTAGTTCGATAATGGTGAGGAGTTTCTGAACCTTAAAAGGTGGAGCGTCTGTAGCATTTATTCCAGTGAATAGAAAATTGATAGTTTCATTGTTTCAGAAACGGACACAGGAAATTCTGAAGAAGTTCCGGACGCAAGACTTCAATAAACTGGTTGAGGAGATGCATCAGGAGCGCGAGGAAGTGGATCTCTCACGAACGGTAAAACGATTGCTGCAACGAAACGATGACGCCAATCGCATTAACGAATACGGGTATCGCTACAAACCAAAGAATATCTTCGAGCTCAAATTGCCCGAATCCTTTGTTTTTTAGATTGTCTTCGCATAATTTGTGTCAAATGTGTCAAAGATTCGTCTTCCTTTCATACTATAATTTATCTTTTTGCTCTTCTGAACAAGTCTAAAATGTTTTTTTGATGCAATGTTCATGAACATTCCGGTAATGCAACTCCAGAACTGTGTAAGCTTGGGAGTTGAAATTCTGTTAATCTGACGTTGTCTGACATCCAACTTCCGATCTTATTCTTTTATAACTTTGGAAAGGGGTAAGGCGTGAGGCAAATTTCGTTGCCTTATATGCGCCGCTCAGTTCAACGACTATAAAGACAAGGCACATCATTTGTAAATGTACAGGCGTTTTCACTTACCATACCGCCGATACAGTTTATTGCGAAAATGTGTGAGCGCCGTCGCTGGTTCGTGCTTATCATTAATATTTACAGATTTAAGTAATCCCTAATATGCGTATAAACGAATGATCCAGTTGTAGTTTGTGAGTTCCTTTGTTTCGCGACCCTAATTGTTATTTTGTTTGGACTAGTGAGAACCCCGTGGGTAGGTGCATGTGTGTGCGTGTGTGTGTGTGTGTGTGTGTAAAAGTGACACGCCGCGTCCTATACACACGTTTATTATACATAGTAGAGTGAAAAGGTAAAATACAAAGGTAGGTGAGGCTCTGGGGCCAGTGTCAAAAAAACAAAGTCGATATTGAC